GGAGCGAACGCAGATCGCGGCACGGCAGGGACGAGCTACGGATCACGGCAGAGCGCGGCGGCAGGAACGCGCGGATGGAACGAGCGGATCGCAGCAGATCGCAGCAGGAGCGAACGAAGGGAGATCGCGGCAGATCAGAGCGAACGAGCGACGGATTTCTTGCTTTTCTTGTAATTGGAGTTGATCGGCTTGAAACAGATGTTCGAAGATGCCGGACGAAGAAGATGTCGGACGAAGATGCCTCACCAGAGAAGATGTCGTAAAACTGAGCACCAGAGGTCCAATCGAAGAGAGTCGATCGGCTTGAAGCAGCGGCAGAACTCAAACAAAGTGGACGAAGACGCCCCAGAACTCAAAGACAAGAATGAGCGCTCCGGTGAGGAAGCAATCGAAGATGCCGACCAAAGATAACAAAAGCTAAAATTTCAAGGATTCAGGCTCTGATACCATGACAATATTTTGAGTGAATAGGTTGAATGTCTTTTCCTTTGCTTTCATTCCAATAAATAGTAGTTTGTACAATCTATTTTAGGTACATAATATTCAATATAATCTAAATTAAGTAACTTAATTAATACATATTCATAATCTAAATATTCAGCTAAAAGGAAAGAATTCGTGCAAATATAATATTTTTTTTCTTTGCAGTATTGCGAAGAAGGAAACTCTTTATTCTGTCTGATTTCTTTTATTCTTGATTGATAGTATGTGGGGGAAAATTCTCGGGGATTTGCATGCATACCACCCAATTCTTCTATATTTAGGTATCTAACACCTAAATGTTTTTGAACCACACGGGTCAGAGAAGGTGGGGGAAAATCTAGGGGCATTTGCATACATTAATAACCAATTCTTATGTATTTACATATCTAAGACCCAAATTTTATTTTTTACATTTATGCAAACCAAATCTTTAATATCATATCAAATATACCACTATTTTAACTTTCACATATAATTTACTTATTATTGGATTAAATCGACCCAAAACAAGCCAAACAAGATCGACAAAAGTTTATTCATTTTTAGATTGTTTATGAATTGAGTTCAAAAAAATTATCTGTGTTTGGCCTGTTTGCTTGACGAACGAATCAAGGACAAGCTACCTAGCAAGCCAAACACGAGCTATCTGCAAAGAACGGGTTTTTTTTACAACCATACTTTTGACATTTGGATAAATTAAATTAAAAAAATGAAAATTTACAAACGGTAAAACACTCAATTCTTTTGTATGTACATATCTAACACCTAAACTTAATTTTATACATAAATGACCTATGCATGAAAATATGTATTTCACTTTGTAAAAGTTAAAATAGTGATGTTAAAGATTTAGGTGGTATAAATGTGCAAAAGAAAAGTTTAGGTTTTAGATATGTAAATACATAGGAATTGGGTGGTACGTATGTAAATGCCCTGAAAAAAATCATTGGTACTACCTTGTCATGATGGGTTCAGCTTGGTTGGACTTGGAATAATAGTTTTGCTAAATGAACGTGTAAACAATAGAATACCAGAGCTCTAATTGATACTTGATAGATAGTATAAAGGAGTTATAAAGCTTAACAAATTTGATTGAACATCATAAGATTGGTTAACAGTAGAACTAGGCAAGATCAAGCGGTTCAATCTAAAAATAATGACTTTGTCATGCCGTCAAAGAAAAATGGGGCATTTACATACATACATACCACACAATTCCTATGTATTTACATAACTAACACCTAACTTTGCTTTTTACATTTATACCACCCAAATATTTTATATCACATGAAAAATACCACTACTTTAGCTTTCAAAAAGTGAAATACACCTTTTCTTGTATACCTAAGGTGGCATATATGTAAAAAATGAAGTTTAGGCTTTAGATATTTAAATAAATGGTAATGAGTGGCATGTATGTAAATCTTCCAATAAAAAAATAGCTCTAGTAAATTGATTTGCAGAGCTAACAAAATCAAAATATTAAAGTGCATACCTCATCGAACTTGCATCCTAAATCATGCTCAATGCTTCTAACTGTGCGTCGCTGACCTTCAGTGAACATAAGCACTGTAGTCCCCTTATTACCAGCTCGGCCAGTTCTGCCGGATCTATGAAGAAAAATCTCAGAAGTATTTGGAATTTCATAATGAATAACCTGTAATCAATCAAAAATTAGAATCTATTGGCAGGCTAATTGAAAATTTTAGGGGGATATACATACATACGACCCAATTCCTATGCATTTACATATCTAACGCATAAACTTTACTTTTTACACTAACACCATCCAAATCTTTTGTATCACATCAAAAAAGTCACCATTTTAATTTTTGAAAAGTGAAATACACCTTTTAAAGCATGGGTAAGGTAGCATGAATGTAAAAATTGAAATTTAGGCGTTAGATATGTAAATACAAAGGAATTTGGTGGTATATATGTAAATCTTCCAAAATTTTTAAGCTTGATAGGCTGATGTGATGAAGAAGTTTGTTACCAGATCAACATTAGGAATATCAAGACCACGTGCAGCGACATCTGTAGCAACTAATGCATGGAACCGTCCATCACGGAAAGCAGCGAGAGTTTTGTCCCTCTGGGACTGCTGCATGTCTCCATGTAGTGCTTTGCTCCCAATTATAACTCCCATGGACCTCGAGAGAGACTCCGCATCTCTCTTTGTTTTTGTGAAAATTATACTTTTACCTCCTTGAGCATACATCTTTAGCACAAAAGTTTACATGTTAGAGATGATGAATAAGTAAATACAGCTAATATAGTAAACTAAATAATGGAAAAATAATGGTCTCATGTTCACTGGCATGGATCCCCTAAAAAAGAGAAGTGGCCAACAAATAACAAACAGGTCATGAAGATTAATGAAAAGGGAAAAGTGTCTAAATAGCCGCCTAACTCTTTGCATGGGGTCATTCTAGTCCCGGAGTCTACAAAAGTGTCAATTTCGTCCCTAGACTCTTTTAATATGTGCTGAAATAGTTCTCACGAAGAACTATTTTAGCCCCAATTTAAAGATTCTGAGAAATGATTTGGCATTTTATAAACTTTGGGACTAAAATGGCCCCATTAAATAGTCAAGGGACTATTTTGACACATTAATCTAAATAAAAAATGACGACTAGTTTTCGAAAGTAAAAGAATAACATCGACCATCCTTAATAAAAATAATTAAGCGAACCAAAAATCCAAAACAATCTTCTGTAAAATAACTTGTAGACATGAAAGTTAATTCAAAGTAACAAAAAAGTACAACCAACTTCATATATAAACTTACTGAAATCAAAGTTGGAAGGAGATTTTGTTTGTTAAAAGAGGTTGACGAAATAGAATAGAGGGAGATACCCTCAGCTAACTTTTGAGCAGAGTCTCCAACCTGAGATAAAGCAATGAAAATGATTGGGAATTGTGAAAAATATCATAAACCTCTTTCAAATCAGAGAAATGGCGGAATTAGAAGATAAAGACTAACCAGATCTACTACTATGGGATCCCTCAAATACTTCCTCGACAGATCATGAATCCATTGAGGCATTGTTGCAGAAAATAGCATGCATTGTTTCTCTCTAGGTAGGTAACTTAAAATGCGTTCCACATCCTCCTGAAAGCCTACAGCTAACATCTGATCAGCTTCATCCAGCACAACAAATTTGACTTCAGAAAGATCTAAGGCGCCCCTTTCAAAAAGGTCAATAATTCTCCCCGGTGTTCCAACAACAATATCCATGCCATATCCTAGTGAACGAACTTGGCTCATAATTGGTATTCCTCCATAAATGCAAATACTTCGCAATTTTGGAGCGGAAATTTCGAATTCTCGTTGCACTTGACGTGCTAGCTCGCGTGTAGGGGCCAATACAAGAGCAGAAGGAACTCTTTTTTTCCTTCAATACAAAAACAAAAAGATGTATAAATGTAATTGAAAAAAACTGGGGAAATTTACATACATACCAGATAATTCAAGTATTTATGTATCTAGCACCTATACTTCAATTTTTACATGCATACGACCATACCTATATATGAAAAGATGTATTTCACTTTTAAAAAGTTAATAATGACAGTAATTTTGATGTGATGTTAAAAGTTTTCACATTGATAAGGATAAATATAAGAGTTTAGATTTTAGATGTGTAAATACATAAAGAATACATATGCCCCAAAAAAACTATCAATTCAAAACTATCGCAACAGCAACAATTGTAAAACCAAAGGGAGAAATAGCATAAAGAAATATAGCGCCGGAATAGTATTAAACATTGAAATACAACAACAAGAAGTTTTATCCCACTAAGTGGGGTAGGCTACATGAAACCTTTCTCCATTGCGACCTATTGAGTGTCATATTTTCATTTAATTCTAACAAATTAAGTATTAAACATTGAAAATGTTAAACAAAAATTAATCACTGAATACAATTGCTTAAAAAACTCCTTGAATGTATTTTATCTAGCTCGCGTGTAGGGGCCAATACAAGAGCAGAAGGAACTCTTTTTTTCCTTCAATACAAAAACAAAAAGATGTATAAATGTAATTGAAAAAAACTGGGGAAATTTACATACATACCAGATAATTCAAGTATTTATGTATCTAGCACCTATACTTCAATTTTTACATGCATACGACCATACCTATATATGAAAAGATGTATTTCACTTTTAAAAAGTTAATAATGACAGTAATTTTGATGTGATGTTAAAAGTTTTCACATTGATAAGGATAAATATAAGAGTTTAGATTTTAGATGTGTAAATACATAAAGAATACATATGCCCCAAAAAAACTATCAATTCAAAACTATCGCAACAGCAACAATTGTAAAACCAAAGGGAGAAATAGCATAAAGAAATATAGCGCCGGAATAGTATTAAACATTGAAATACAACAACAAGAAGTTTTATCCCACTAAGTGGGGTCAACTACATGAAACCTTTCTCCATTGCGACCTATTGAGTGTCATATTTTCATTTAATTCTAACAAATTAAGTATTAAACATTGAAAATGTTAAACAAAAATTAATCACTGAATACAATTGCTTAAAAAACTCCTTGAATGTATTTTATCTAGTATTGTGCTTTACATTTTTAGACATTTATCCAGATGTGGTATAGCTTAGTAAACTTCATAGGAAGATTTACATACATACCACTCAATTACTATATATTTATGTATCTAATACCTAAACTTCAATTTTTACATGCATGCCACCTTACCTATGCATAAGAAAGTGTATTTCTTCACTATTTAAAAGTTAAAATAGAGGTATTTTTTATGTGATATGAAAGATTCGGGAGTTATTAATGTAAAAATTAAACATGTAAATACATAGGAATTGGGTGGTATGTTTGCAAATGCCACAAATTTATATAACCCATCTTCTAAATATACCGAAGTTCAATATTTCAATGTTGACAATATACATAGTGAACAACCTAGCACATTAATACCTTGGTTTATAAGAGTGCGTTCACTGACTCCAACTATCAAACCCCAGAAAAATGTCATAATTCCCCCTTGAAAATCACACATTTTTAATAGCATATATGATGGTCTGCATGAGCTACACAATTCCTTGTAAAAACTTGAACATTCCTTTAAACTAAACAAAAATTTATGTAACTTCGGAGAATCATCACTAACAAAAATAAAGGGTTTTTGTAATGCAAAATCACCAATGTGGGAGCCTTATCTGTTTTGCAATGGGCTGAGAGACAAATAAGTGCTGCTAGGAGAGCCCACCAGTGGAAGGCCAAAAGGATCCGCTGGCTGAAGACCAAGATGACCCATTAGCGGGAGGCCAGTGGATCTGTTTGACAAGGTGCAACCCCCCTAAAGTATAGGCCGCCGGATGTGAGTCATCTAGACCAAAGATTGAAGCCAATTAAATAAAGCAGAGACATCGACCCACCTCTCGCCACGACCCAATTGGTACAAAAAATTGTTACAGGTTAAACTTTGGAGGTGGTTCCCTACTCATTAGCAACAAGATCTACCGTGAGTGGTCCCCAAATCACCTCAGCGATAAGTCACGGTGGTTAGTCCTGCGAAGGCAATGATGAGATCCGCTTAATACGCTTGGTGATAGGTGTGGCCCGTCCAAGGCGACGACCCGACCGATCAAACGGGACATAGGTAGTATAAGACTAGAGACGGGTCGTAAACACATCAAAAGCGATCATAAGTCCTTCCTAAGAAACCAAACATCAACCACCACAAGCATTCACGTAAAAAAAACAAATATGATAAAGGTAAAATGAGAGACAACAGTAAAATGAAGCCCAAAACTGTATTTCATTTCATAAAATCAAGTTACAAATTTTTCTTTATAAAAATCTTAAATAATTTTACAATTGAGCAAGAGAAGCATAAAATTTCTAAGTACAGGAAAGTAACAGCCAAGTCAAGCATAAGACAAGCCTATGCTCGTGAAACCTTCTTGCGGCTCCTCCCATTGTCTATTGCTGATACCAAGACAAAGAAGAGTTTTTTGAATTCCTCTAGATCCAATCAATTGAGATCCACCAATCTCACTCACATAAACTGGTCGGCCGCTAGTTTGGTCCCAAGGCTGAGATGCATAGGCTGACCATTTAAGAACTCTTCTTTCGTCTTCATCGCAGCTATATTTTCCGTCAAAGCCTTGTTCTCTTCATCGACGTTAAGTAGCCACTAGAAACGCTGCTCAACTCCTCCCCAACTTCGTCTAGTTAAGCCTCAGCCACAGTAGCCTAATGCTTAGCATACTTCGCAGCTCCTCAACAGCCCTTGTTCGATCTTTAACGAGTTTAAACCCTCCACGATCCTGAAAGCTCTCTTCTTAGCATCAACATAGAGCGAGGACTGAAGGTGTGAAGCCTCAAACCACAACAGCTGATATCCGTCGACAACATGACATTGTCCAAAAAATCAAAATCTCGCAGAGGCATTTCTTGAAGTTTTAGGATCAAAGGGTGTCCGCGATTGTTGAAACACAAAGGTCGGCACTCGGACAGTTCGAGTATCAATCCCTCATGTTGAGCATAGCATATCGCAAGTCCTCACTCATGAACACCATCAACCCCTCCTCCTGCATGGGGCATCATTTACACGCTTTCCCCTTCCGTCTTTTTCCGGGAGGTGGGGGAGGAAAGGGGCTCGAGTCGGTGATCTCTTCCTAAGAAGTAATGAGCTCGAACCCTCGCTCGATTTCAGATCGAGCCACTGGGTAGGGTTGATTGGCTTCCACAATCACCGCAAAACCAATGAAGTTTGTAGTAACCGACTGAGGAGTCGGCTTTGTATCTGGTCCTTCTGACTCCTCCTCGAAAATGCTAATCAGAACACTCGGGGTTTACTCTAACTCCCGACATTGCTCTCTCAAAGTACTTGCATTCATCAAAGAAGGTTTTCTTTCATTAAGGGTCAACTTACCAATCGAGATTCTCTGAATTACAATTGTGGTCTCGGAAATGAAATAGATAAAATTCAAACCTCTGGCCCCTTCACCAGCTAGGACAATCGATGTTTGGTTGTCATCCTTGCAACTTCCGGGCAGGTGGCCTGCTTCCGTTGCTTCCTCCGAGAAAGACAAGCAGCCTAGTCAATCTCTCGTTGTTCCTCTTAGTTGTCGAATTCTGCACACAAGGTTGTAATCATAAAATCAAATTTTTTTTCGAATGTAAAACCCAATTCACCACCTTCCCCTTAATGTACTAGCGAAATAAAAGTCGTTTTCCTTCAAAATATTGAGCGCCATCTCGAGTCTGGGGAGGCACGTATTTCTTTTTTCTTGTACACTCCTCCAGTCGTGCAAGGCATAATCCCCCACTCACTAGAGGGCCCTAAGAGGAAGAGCTGCTTTGAGCCCTTTATCTGATTCTCAAGGCCCATTATAGTAAATTTTCCAGTCGATCCAAGAAAAACGAAGTTGTTTGGCTCGACCCAGAAAGAGAACATATAGGAGAAAAGTTCCCTTGACCACGGGATCCCAACTCGGCGACAGTAGATGACATACGTCATGATGACAGCAATAGAATTTGGCTTGATCTAGGTCGGAGCACGTTATAATGATTGAAGATTGACCACAACTCTTGCAAAATGATTGTCGAAGAGCCCATTAGAATTGTTCTCGGTAGAAGACGAAATCTATCCCGAATTGATTGGTCATCTGATCAGACGGTCCCACGACTCGGAGTTGGACATCCTCATCAAAAATGCAAGTTTCTTGCAACAAAGACACATCCCATAGCGACATGGATAACCTCTCGGCCGTCGGGATCAGCCCGAAGAGCATCGGAGAATGCTTAGGAGCCACTCGAAAGAAAGCAAATAAGGGGAAAATGAAGAAACCGAGAGAAATAGGCGAAAGAGAGTCAAGGAGTGTGGCACCAAAAAGCCATTGACGTACGTCGATTTAAAAAAAGTGCATCACATCAACACAATATTCGAGAGATAATTATAGAAATAAAATTATCAGAAACTAATGGAAGCAGAATTTTATTTAGACGAAAAAATATATTACAAGAGCTTCATTTGCTGCTTCAACCGAAACAAGTCCTAGCAATAGCAGCTTCCAATACAAAATCTTTCCACCAAATCTAAACATATCTCTATTATCCACTTCGGCTTGGAACCGAAGCAAAGGGTCATCAGCTCCTTTGAATACTTCAGTCTAATGGCTGTCAGCTCCTCCAACAACTCCTTTATTTCTTCCTCTTGCTACATCCCTGCCCCTCGAGTGAAAGAGTTCAATGTTTTGTTCAAACAGCGAGTCAGTGTCACAGAGGACTTCTTCCATCCATCGATCGCCTCCACTCGGATTCCTTGAGAGCTCGTCAGATGATCGACCATGTTCTCCTCGCTCCTGATTGGTGTCAGTATTCTCTCGACCGGTCTGGGGGGGAC